CAATAACAGATACTACAGGAACCAATTTTGAAAAAATGAGATTGGCTTTTCACATGATAGGAACCTTACCACAGTGAAATACTGTCAGCTTCAACACAGTCTCCAAAAGTTTCAGTGTCTGACTCTTTGCTTTGGATATTTGACACTAAAATCATAGCCGTGGTGTCGGCTAGTGGCAAGATAGCTTCATTGAATTGAAAGGGATATTTGCCAATTGTCAGCAGTTAAAAAGAGAGACTCGTGTTTAAAAAAAAATTTGAGGGCAGAAGAGTAACTAGATTTAAGGCTCTCAAACTGTGTATTGTGATCACTTGCTAAAGGGTCTTGGAAAGCTCTGCATTAGCTTTGCATGGCCTTGACTTCCAGCCGAATAAATATATCTAATGTTTCCCTAAAACGTGCATTTCAGTGTAGGTAACTACAAAGACAGATCCTCTCCAGTCCCCCTGAGCTAACCAGCAAGAGTATTTGCAAAGGAAAATTGTATCTCACAAATCTCCCGTAATTCCTGTGATATGTCAGTAGAGCAGTGGATGAAGTTGAGTCAGCTAAAATAACTTTCAAAAGGTGTTTGACAGGGCCCTTTATGAGGTGCCACAAGTATTTCTTAAATCATCATGTAGAGAGGCAAAATATTATGAATCAAAAATCAGCTAGATGAGCACAAGCAGAGAGGAGGATTAAACAGTCAGTTTTCTTAATGACCCAATGATAAGTTCTGGTTTTGGCACTGAGCAAATAGCAAGATTATACATGTGGCAAGACTTTAAATCTAGATGATACCCATCTCCCTACTTGATATTAATTATGATTTTTCTGAATCAGTTCAACCATTCCTGGTATCATGTGCCACTCGGCAAGACTGATGACACTAGATAAATAGCATTGCCTTAAATCTAGAGTGAATACTATTATTTACCTCTGCATGGTACTTCTCCTGAAAAATCGTCTACAAGCTAGGGTTAAAAGCTCCAAACAAAACACTGCCAAGCAGTCATTAATCCCCAAGAAATGTCTGGTCATTTAATTGTTGCTGCGGAATCTGAAGTTGGAGCAAGGATATGCAATACTATAGATTCCTTTTTTTTGTAGATTTTCCCTTCAGTGAGAAGAAAAGCCAAGTTGGCATGTTGAGTGAGATTAACTAGGCTTGGACCTTTATAGCTTGTAAAACTGGACATTTATGTATGACTGCTGAAAACTGATTTACTGCTGGTAGAGACGGGTAGAGTTGCAGGGCTGTAGAGTTACAGTATGCATGTGAATGAGATGTGCCATCACCAGCAGCACCACAAAGATGCCGGTGCAAAACAACATTGCTGCAACTCTCACAAGGAGAAGCAGGTGTTCCAACACAAAGAGAGGGTCTCTGAGCTGCTCCTTGGACTTGTGTATCTGGCTGCAGGAGGACGTGGGCGGTCATTGTCATCTCAAAACAAGCTGTCCTCCAGTTGGGCAGGACATACCATTATCCACATATATTTTCTAAGCAGCCTGATCAGGGCTTCCTTCTTTGATCTAAAAGTCTTTGTTTTCTCCACTTCTGGGCCCCAAATGTCTTCTCAGTACTTTCTTTAGTTGACGTTGTTCAGGGCTTTAGGATTAAGTTAATCAAGTTTGAAGAAGACTATAAATTGGTTTTAAATTGGACCATTATCTTGTAGTGGCTGGAGCATTTTTCTTGTGCCTGGTGTTTCTGACTTATTTTTTGATTCATGGTGCTTTTTTCCTCTTTCTAATTTCAAAAAACCTTTTGCGTCAATCAATATTGTAAGCTGCTAAGGCTCTTAAATACATTTAAATTTTCATCAGTCCTTTTCAAACAGCTTTTGGTCCAGTGGATGTCTTTATGCCAGTACTGCCAATCCCAAACTCCAAAGATAGGCAAGTTACCTGAGAAGATGGGCATGAAAGTTCATTTTACAATAAAAGTTGAGTCCTTTCTGTTTCCTTGGTTAAATAGTTGCCATTTAGGCTTTCATTTTCAAACATTTCACACCATGTACCAAAAAAATAAAAGATCCCAATCTAATCATATGTCCCTACTAGTTCTTTGAATCTGTCTCAAATATCTTCAGCTAGAGTCTAAAATCCTGCGAATTGGCACACTTGAACATATTCTGGATTTGTTTCTGCTTGATCTTGGAAAGTGTTGACATTTTCTGGACACCTAAATCCTTTCTCCTGATTTTTGAGGCTCTGTTCTTGGCAGCCAGAAAGGACACTGCACATAGTTTAATGTTTCTATCTTTGAAAAATATTATACTACATTTAAATCTTATCACTCCTCAGTGCTGACAGCCTGTAGTTTGGGACTTTTCATGGTGGCTTTCTGATTATTTTTTCCTAATTTTATTTAATTTTATAGTTGTCTGAATTTCAAAGGGTAGAGATAAATATGAAAAAACAATATGGTCACAACTCAGTGTATTATTCTAGTAAATTCACATTCAGATATTCATGATAATGGCAGTTATTAACCCTGGCAGATATCAGTGGTCTTACTAAATCTTTGTGTCAGAAAGGGTTACATCAAATTTAAATAATGTAGAAAGCTTTATTATATACCACAAAGTAAAAAAAAAAAAAGAAGAGAAGCTAGTTGAGGGGGGAAAAAAAAGACCATTAAGGCTATTTTTCATTGAAGTGTGGATGAGAAATAATGTTGGTGAAAAGAAGAAAGGTCACCCTTATTTTTAATCAACCCTCTGGTCCTTCTTCTGGATGAAGGCATCATTGTCAGACTCGGGCAGGCAAGGTGGGAGGAAGGAGCTCTGCTGCTGTAACATATTGGTTTGTGCTGGCACAGAGCAGGCTCCTCAGGAGATGTTTCCCTGAAGGTGACAGTGGGGTCACTGACTGTATAACCTGGAAGAACTGCTTCTTGAACAAATGGCAGTCACAAGCACCAAATAGAATATTTCACAAGTAGTATAACTTTAGGTCAAAGCCACCAGATGTTCCCAGTCTGGCTGCCCCCATTTTTAAATTGACAGAGATAACGTGAAGCATTGCCCTTGGGAAGAAAGGGACACTAAGTCATTCTCACGTGCTCTTTTGGGCTCAACACCTCAACTTGGAGGGAAGAACTCTTTGTTTGTGTACAGGGTTTTAGCAGTGGAAACACCTCTAGTCTATGTATGCAACATCACATTTCCCACAAAAGAAATGGTTCTCTGAGGGGAAACTGAGAAGAGCAGGTGTGAAAGTGGTACTTCTTTAGATAACAGACTTAGGGTTAAATACCCACGTTGTAAATCTCCTTCTTGTCAATTTATAGTCATACACCTTTACTGTTAGAATATTTCTTAATACATAATTCCTTAATCTTTTGCAAACAGTAGCATATGTGCCAGATACTTGTAGCAAACAGAAATTTGATTGCCTATGTTTTTTGCTGCCTGAGTTTTAAGAAGTTACTGTATATTAAAAATTGCTATATACTGTTATTGCTGGCACTTATCAGATAAGGAAGTCATAAGATGAATGATCTGCCTCAAAGAAGTGAAAAGCAAAGCAATTCTGATACTGAAACTGCAAACCAGATGATGCTCTGATTAGAGGCACACACATAGATTAGAGAAGTATAATAAATCATGTAACTTTTTAGCCTCAAATAAAATAAAAGAATGCAATTTTTATTAGGAAATAAACTGTTTATCAAGAATGCTTTAAAAGTGACATTTATGGCTAATAAACTGTGTTGAAAGGGCTGGTCCTTTCATTGGCAGAACAGCCAGAGACTTTCCACAGTGTAAAAAATGCAGCAGCTCAGCCCATGCCGGGTCAGGAAGCAGTTCCGTCAGCACTGGTGAAGGATGGGAAAGAGACTCACACACACTTTTTTCAAACAAGAACATTTCTTTTCTCTTTATAAAGGAATGAGTCATGGAAATATAACTCCAGTTATTTTGGGAGATTGTGGATCCCTGCATGGCTCCTTGGAATATCACTGAGAAACAATTCCACAGTCCGTTAATGGTAGCAAAACCCAGCAAAGCATCTGCCAGGCAGGCTCTTGATAGTGTCAGCAATCCCCCTGCTTGGGCAGGATGTTATTTGCTCTTTAGTTCCTTTAACGTACGGGCCAACTTTCAGGGTTGTAATGCTTGGCACTATTTCTCATATTCATTCTCTTAAGTTACCAAATACTGTGGCTCTTGGTGATGAACATGTCAGAAAAACATGTCCATCCCTTAGGATCCTGCACTAGAAAGGAACAAACTTCTTGGCTGAAGCATTTAATTCACCTCTCCACAAAAGCAGCCTTGCTTTGGAGACCAATTCATTCAGACTTGAATCATAACAGTATTGAGCGTGTGCCTACCTGCTACCTGAAGCTGTGTAAAGGATGGCTACATAAAAGTCAGGTCAAGCTACATCTGTCTCTTATGTATGAAAAAATGTCCCTCAAGACAAAACAGGGAAGAGAAAAAGGTGGAGTGCAGCACACCTCATTTGGGACTTGCCACATATCTGTGTCCTGCAAGACACACTTTGGAGTAAGGAACTTACTCAACTCCTTTACAATTATAAAGGCAGTTTTACAAATTAACTGTTAGCAAGTGGTAAGCATTTACCATTCTGACCTTGCGTGTGAAATCTGTTTTGTGATTAGTCCACGTGTACCCCATTACTTGGTCATGAATTGAAATTTCTGTTCCCGTCTGCAAAAAAATGCTCTTCTGTGAGTCTCACAGCCCAAATACATTGTGTGATTAAAATGTATTTGCAGATTGTCAGAAAAATCAAACTTTTTGCACTTAAGATACATTATCTATTCAGGAAAATGAGACGGTGCTTAGGAACTGCTTTCAAGAGTCTGTAAAAATCATTGTAGCTCATGTTCTGTCTAGATTATATGAAAACTGGGCATTTCCTAGAAGCTGCAGTAACTTAAATATTCCACTACCCAGGTACTTTTGCTACTGATATGCTGTCATTATCTCCTTTTCTACTTACTTTCTAAATGCAGTTTGCTGAACAATATTGTTTTTCAGGAGATGACCCATTCATGGCCTCCGCCACTGTCCGCTATTCACACACCAGGAAAGGCAGAGCAAAGCAAGTTTCCCTTTCCAAACAAGGTAAGACATTCAGAAACATTCCTCCTGCTCATCACAATATGTCCTACACAAGTGTGTGAGGTCTCTGGGCTGAGGTTGTGATGGTCGTCTTCATGTGTGTGTGCCAGTATTCCATCTTTTCCCTTCTTACAGCCTTAGCAGGGCTACACAGCCTGCATCTCTTGGCAGCAGAATTGATGGTGTTGTGGGGGCCACAGGCTCCTCATGGCTAGGCAAAACCACAGATGTCTCTGGTGGGATGTCCAGGTGGGGTGGCTTCTGCTGAGGCTCCTGACTGATACCTTAGGGCACAGACAGCAGTGGAAAGTCGGGGAGCTCCTCCTTGCATGCATTGCTCCTGCATTGTCTGGCTTCATCAGCTGAGACCTTTGTTGAAACCTTGGAGGTCTGAGGAGGCCTTCACAAGCACACTGGCCTCTAGTTGGCCCCAAGGAGTGAGCACACATCTTCTGCCTGGTTTCAAAGGGGCAGCTTTGCTAGAGAGGCAGTCAGCCCAGTGCCATTATTCACAGAGGGGCCACAGAAGCATTTGCCACAGAAACATTTGATCCCCCCAAAGAGACCAAAGCCACTAGTCCTGCTGATGCTCCCTTAAAACCAGCCCCTCTGTTGGATATGTATCCAAGGGAGGATGCAGTGCAGCATGGTAAAGCTCATCAGCACAAGCTTGGGGAAACCACATTATTTATACATGGTAAGTCAGGAGGGAATGAAATCAGCTATCTTGTGCAAGAGCCAATAAATTTCACATTGTATCACCATATACTGTTTAGATGTCACAAGCATATTTCATGCAGTGTTCAAGCTTGAAAGATGGTATTGATGCTGTTTATAGTCTTTCTCCTGTTAAAGCAAGCTCTTTTGGCAACTTTTAAGTCCATTCTGCAAAATTTAGTTCAGGGAATAATTATAACTACAAAGCCAAGAAAACTTCATTTGCCTACAGTAAAACAGCTTTTCTGTGGATGAGAGTGTCATGATTTTGAAGTATCAGGGGTGTAAACTGAGATATCTCTGGCATGTTATGAAAGAAAAGGAAGGAAATAACGCACTATTTGCTTTTTGAAGGCAGACAAATGACTGAAGATGGTAGGTGAACTAGAGGCTTGTTAAGTTAGAGCAAGTCCTGTGTAGAAGAGAGGTGGGTCAGCAGCTTACAAGCAGGTGAGGTGCCTGATAGGGATGACAGAGTGAAGTGATGCTTGCAGTGCTGCAGTTTCTGCCACAATTATCACCACACGGTGTGTTTGTGTGGCACACGTGCAGATGTGCACAGGCAAGGCATGCATCTGTCAGTGGATCTGTGAGGCCGTCGTGAATCCACATCCTCACAGCTAAATCTACTGTGATAAATATAGGAATAGGAGAACCACAGAGCAGAGAGCAAAGATACATGAATAATGGTTGATATTGACTTTCTCATCTTCTCTCTGCCTGCTCATTCATCTCTCTGGGAAATTTTCTATTATTTTGAATTGCAGAGCCATTTCAGAGATCTACCACTCATTTTTTAAGATCTTTTTTGAGGTGGTTTCCTTTTCTCTTGCCAAAGTAGGATTTCTATTTTTTTTAAGCTTAGGATGGACAAGATTTCATGTAGTAATATATGAGCATACTTTTGTACATCTAATAACATCACAACTGCATTGTGGCCTGGGTGGTCTGCATAGCCAGAAATTAGAGTGCTTTGTGTGAGATGGGAAAGAAGTATCTTAAAAAACTCACCGGAGTCCTGGAATAATTCTGTATTACTTGCCTTAGATTATGTTAATTTTAGACACCATTTCTATTTGAAAATATTTGAAAATAATTAAAATTTTCTGGTAATCTGTACAGTCACAGACTTCAGAAAGCGTCTGTTTTTCAGGCTCCAAAATGCAAAAAAATGGTTTTCTGATTTTTCAAACATGTTTTTCACACCTTCATAAGCTAGCTATTGCTTTTAAAAAAGCATGGTGTAAAATCTTTATTGGACCTCATAGGAAATGTCTCCTTAGCTCTTAGAAAGCTCTCCCCGAGGTAAGCTATGTAGCTCTCCCTTCTTTTTAAAACCTGAAGGCTACACCAAACTTCCATTGATCTCACATTATTCAGATAAATGGTTTTGTCAGTTAAATAGTGACCAAGGCAAATAAAGAGACTGAAAGGCTAAAATCAGGGCAACAGCTTCATCTCTGAGTTCCAAGTCATGCATGGTAACATGAATTACTTTCCAGTCTTAATGGCAGTATTGAGACATTAGTTCACTTCATTAGCAAAGACTCTTCCAGCAAGAGAAGCAAGTAGGCTGCACTCACTTTTAACACAAGACAGTTCCCAAACATAAAAATTCTCATCATTTTGGGAATGAGAAAAAGAGAAGCTTGTAGGACTCCTGCCCTGTTACAAGGATGTAAATCATAACTACTTTTCTGTCTGTAAAAACTGAGTGTCAGCATCATTAGTTTGCATTCACACCACACTGCTTTTAACCTGCAATTCAAGTAATTAGCGATATGACAGCTTGAAACTTGAAATTTATTAATTAGGCTATTAAAGTTGCAAAGGCCACAGAAACTATACCTAGAGTGGTTTTGAAATCAGTCTAGTAATAAAAACTAAATAGCTGAGATTTATATATCACAAATATAACAGAATTGCACATTTGAAACTGCACATGTGGATGTATTGATCAATATAACTAAATGCTTATTTGATGGAGGGGATGGATGTGTGTAGGCTGTACTTCTATATAAACATGCCTTATTAACATGGGAGGTCTGCATTGATTCACAAAAATGGGAGGAGAGCTGGGTCAGGTTTGACACGTGGCAGTGCCCAGTAGGTTTCCAAGTACTACGCTGCTGGAGAAACAGCACTAGCGATGTGTCCTTTATGTAATGAAGGGCATAAAGTTACATTTCATCCTTAACTTTGAATTTTCTTTCTCTCTGGAATTAATTTGTACTCTTGAATTTACTAGGAAAGGGCAATGACAGTCTCTTTATTTCTTGTTTTTCAAAGCTTAAGGATAATTGATTGAATGTGTGATGTGACAATCTGTGTATGCTTTCCTTTCTCCTATCTCTGCCACACTTTGTTATGTACGAATGATCAGGCATTTCTTGATTTTAATTTTATTAAAAGTATCTTGATAAGTAAAGTTTAAATGAATAATTAAATTTGTAAATAAGAGCTCACTTGATGCTTGTGTGGATGAGCTTTCATGTTCAAGCATTAATTCTCTTGTGCAGGAAAAAATGCTGTTAATTCTGCTGCCTGATTTGCTCTCTTTCTTCATTTTTTTTTTTGGTGATTTCTTGTCTTGATAGTTTGATCAGGTGTTTGATTTCTTGTTATGCATATGTTATATTATGGGATCAGCCATTGTTTTATTATTTGAGAATTAATTTAGCCACTCCAAGAGAACTGGTTTCTTGTCACAAAGCTGTTGGGTGATTACTCTCAGCAGATGCCAGGTTATCATAGTGATGTTGTTCCTTACAAGAGCAATTCATTTGCTTTTTCCTTTCTCATTGATTTTAACAAGCTGGAGGAAACGCACTGGACAATAATCTTCAGAAATGAAGGCTTCACCTTTTTTTTAAAGTTGCATTCTTTTTGTTCCTCCATTAGTTGGAACATTCTGTATTTGTCTATGAGTTATTTTTACTAGCCTTTGGCAGAGGCAAGATACTGTGCTCAGCAGTTAAAGGGGAGGGTGCATTCTTCCAGAGGTTAATGAAAAGGTAAAATAGGGAGCAAGATCCTTGTTCAGAAGTTTCAAACAGTTTTACAAATACAAGGATATTTCCCACAAAAATACTGTATTTCCCTGAACTTCTCCAGGTACATAAATTCTCTGTTTTCAAAATTGAACATGCTCTAAAAGCAACTTTTATTGGGGTGTGGTTTGCTACAAGAAAAGCATTTAAATTCAAGTGTACATACCACTGCATCACCACTGCAAGCTGATCTTGACTTTTTAAGATTACATTCAGTCACTAGAAAAAAAAACAGGCTTTCATCTCTCTTCATCAGAAACATTCAGAAAAAGCTGATGCAATTTGTCAAAAGTACACAATTTCAGACTACTGAGAAATTATTCTTGGCATGTGAAACATGCTACAGATCTTTTCATATTGCAGTAGAAAGTAGAAACTCTTGGGGCTTGCCCAAAAATTTGACGTCTCACATTAAAGGTATTTAGGATGGAAGTGAGTTGCAGATGTGTATTATGGTATTAAAATTACAGATCAAAGCCATGCAGTCTGGACAGAGCAAAATGTACAGATGGAGGGATTCTGATGAGCTGAGCCCTCAAGATGCCAGGGCCTGCTGTCCAGCCAACCTCTCTTTAGAGGGTCCAAGGAGCTCTTGGGTCCCCAAGGCCCTGAGGAATTCTCCGAGTGACTCAGCAGCTCAATCTCAGCCCAACAAAGTCAGAGCACCCTCGAATCTCTGGAGACCTACATTTTCCTCTCTCCATAAGCTGCATGTTTGGCTCATCCCTCTGCCCCTGTGGACCAGAGATCAAGTCCAGTGCCCAGCTCCTCACCAAAAATGATCGCACGTGTTCCTGCGGGTGCCTGGCCTCTCTGAACAGTCTGAACTGCAGCTCTAGCTGCAGCATGGATATGAGGTGGTATTCCTGTGTGTGTCTGGGTTATTCAGAAGCAGAGTTACATACAGGATACTTTTCCTGCTGCCGTTCCATGGCAAAGTATTATTTTTTTCCCTTGATTTAATTATCTTTTTGTTATGGTTTATATTTGAATTTATAGGCTTTTAAAAATATTTTTATGAATGCAAACAAATTTGGTAAGTAAAACACAGTGAACTAACATTTTCACTTGAGGGAAAAGTGGTCTGATTTATTGCACCACATTCACAAGTATTGCTGTTGTCATATGAGGTCGACCTTGTAATCTCAGGGACCCAGAACTGGTCTGTATTTTCATTCTCTGATGCTGTCAATGTCAACACGGGAAAAGAAAGGACCAGCTGTGCTACTACCTCACGAATCCAATGGTCCATGAAACAATATTGGCCTTCCCTCTGTCTTCTCATCTGAACTTGTAGAAGATAATAGATGAGTTTTGGCTGATCAATAGATGAATAGTGAGCGTGAGAGTCGTAATAGCTATACAAGGAATTGCACCATTAAAGGGTTGTTGTGAAATAAGTTTACAAGCCTAAGAATTAATGGATTTTCCAAGAAATATTTGACTTATTCTTGTAAATGAAAATTACTTCGAAACCAAATGAACAATAATCAGTGCTGTTTGTACTGTTAAGGTAATGTCCAAGTAAGTATTGCGGCAAAAAAAAATGCTGAAAAAATAATTCACCTTCCCTTTTTTCTGTTATTACTGTAGGAGTCACAACAGGGATCTACAGGACACAGCAATACGAGTAAGTACCAACTCATTTTCTGGCTTCACTGGGTGGAGGGGTAGACAATGACTTTGAGAAAGAAGTGACTGATGAAGTAAGGGGTCATTGGCAGACTGAGACAGCACAGAGCCTCATCAGGCAGTACTCAGCTACGGACAAATATGGAGAACTGAAGAGTGACCATCAAAATGTCAGCTCTTTTGGTGGCCTGGGAAGAACAAAAAGTTTTCATTTCATCATGGCTGTTCCATTATGTAAATGAGAAAGACTGAAAGAGCAAAAGAGTGTTTTTTTTGGAAAGCCAGGAAAGAGCTGACCTACTTGTACAGTCAGATCCAGACTGACAGAAAACTATGCAAGAAAACTTGTTACAATTTATCTTTCATATGCAATGGTATATTTGGTGGCCATTGCTCAGTAATAAACTACATAAATCTGGCCAAACTAACACTAGAAAACATTTCAAAGACCCTATGGCCGTGGCTCTTTTTGGCTAGCAGAATGGGTAAGGGAGTGATGGGTGTTTGTGTATCTCCTGCTCAGGGCTTTCCAGTGGATTCCAGTTTACAAATCATGGTGCAGATCAGTAGCACTTTAATTACATTTAGCTGTGGTAAAAAAAACTTAGTTTCTATATTGAACAGGAAGATTAAGTTGTTCTGTAAAGCAAAATATTAATCCTCTCCCTTGACACCTCTGATGGTTGTTGATGTTGTCTTGCATATTAAAAATACATGATTCTACCCTGCTTTCCACATAAAATCATCACAACCAAAAGAATTATTTTGCTAGCTTCCTGACCTGTCAGCCAGCACACAGCCCAGTTTGCAAATTGCAGGGCTGTGACTGAAGATGAAAAATGCCCTGAGCTCGTAGCTAGGGCTTTGAAAGGGTCTGGTTGCCCACTGTATGAGGGAAAAGACATCCTGAGAGACAAGACTAGGAGATGTAGGCTTTTAAAATTGTGTAGCTCTTCACCAGGGAAAGGTCAGCATGAGGAAGACAGTATTGTGAAGAAACGTGCAGTGGTGTCACTTAATTGCTGGCATTGGTTTGATATTGCTGCAAGTACCAGCACTAAGGAAATAACAAAAGGCAAAGGGTATGAGGTTCTGTCAGAAAATAATGAATACAGTAATGAGAGAAAGAAGCACAAAAGAACCATAATAGAGAGGGCTATGCAAACACAGGCAGAGGCACAAGCATGACAAACACACTGGCTGAGCTGAGAGCTTTGCAATGACATCAGAGGCCACAGTATTTGGCCAGCTTTGGTCCTAGCTGAGTATTTCCTTCTTCCAACACTTGAATAAAATAGGTTGTTCTGCATATTTAACGGAACCTGCATTCCCATGTATTACAAAATTGATCCTATGACCTCACAACTTTTCCCTGCTTCTTACTCCTGTGGTCTCCAACCCCACTTCACTTCCGATTCCCCCATCCCTCCCATACCCCAATACCTCCAGTTTCTCCTCTCCTCATTCATCCTGCTTAGCAAAATCTGCAGCTGGGCAGAAGCTGCACTTGGTACTGCCTAAGTGATGGCAACCAAACCAAAGAACAACTGGACCCATGCAGAAATATTACCTTCATTGGTGGCAAATGAAGTTAGGGTCACTGTCAGATGCCCAGACACTTTTTCTAACATCACAGAGAGAGTGTGACTACCTCTGAGAGCTGTATCCGTGAAAATTCCCGTTGGGGCGCTGCAATAAGGTATCAGACAAAACACAGTTAGAATGAGACATAGACTTCACCAGCCCTGTATGTCAAACTCAAAGGAAATTTGGGAAAAAATTATTCAGATGTGGGGTGGGTTGACCCTGACTGGACACCATGTGCTCACCAAAGCTGCTCTATTACTCTCCTGGACACAGAAGAGAAAATACAAGAGGATCATGGGTGGAGATAAAAACAGGGAGACATCACTCACCAGTTACTTTCATGAGCAAAACAGACTCAACTTGAGAAAATAAATTTAACTTATTACTAATCAAATCAGAGTAGGACAATGAGAAATAAAATCAGATCTTAAAAGCATCTTCTCCTCACCCATCTCTTCATCCTGGGCTCAACTTCACTCCCAAATGCTCTACCTCCTTCCCACCAGCAGTGCAGGGGACCAAGGAATGGGGGCTGCAGTCAGGTAATCACACCTTGTCTCTGAGACTCCTTCCTCCTCAGGGAGGAGACTCCTCACATTCTTCCCTGCTCCAGTGTGTGGTCCCTCCCACAGGAGACAGTCCTTCATGAGCTTCTTGTGAGTCCTTCCCACAGGCTCTGCTTCTTCATAAACTGCTCCAGCATGAGTCTCCTCCACAGGCTGCAGTCCTTCAGGAACAGGCTACTCCAGCGTGGGTCCCACACGGGGTCACAGGTCCTGCCAGCAAACCTGCTCCAGTGTGGGCTGCTCTCTCCATGAGTCCCCACGTCCTGCCAGGAAATACTAGCAAATTACTCTGTGAAAAAGAACCCTAACAGTCAATGTATTGTGTTATCCAACTGCACATCTTCAGAGTCCCAGTTAGCTGGTTTTTCCCATTGTACCCTGACTTCTTTGGAGTGGCTCTTGAGCCTGTCATCTGCAATGGTTTTACTGCAGCTGCCAACATTGTCTTTCTCATGGATTGCATTTGCATTTCTGTCATCCTTCCCCCACAAGGAAACCAAAGCATTTAAAAACTCATAATGGCTGAAATTATTCTACAACATCACAATAAATATCATTTATCCCTGTTACCCAGAAAGGGAAACTTAATCAGTGGAGTGATTCACCAAAATTCCAACTAAGAGGAGAGAACTCCTTTTCTGGCCACCCACTATTCAACAGGGGAAATCCTACAAAAGTTCATTTGAAATTTATTTTGAAATTCAAGAAATCTGGACACATCTTCTGCTTGTATCTAAAAAAGTCGGGAAAGAAGTCACATGAGATGAGGCAGAAACTGTGAAAGTCCTCCCAGTTCTGTGGCTAAAGATCTGTGGACTGACTGTTTCCACTGTGTGTTTTCTGTTACACCCGCTGACACACACTCACCTGTTTCAGGAGACATACACAGTGCTTAGCTTGTGAAACAAAGTGTGCTAACAGCAATCCCATAGCAAGGTGAGTAGCATGTTCTTTGTTAAGAAAAAAGGCTAAGAAAAACAAAGGTTGGCACAAAGTTGCCCATAAAAAGAAGTCAAAACTAGAGAATATTTAGCAGTTCAACAAATGCCAGCCTCCCACAATGGTACCTGCATGCATTTGACAGGTTACATGAAAAAATCAAAACCAATCTGGCCAAGAGTGAGGGTAAAATAGCCAAGTTATTGTAACAGGTAATTATATTTTACATTCCCTTATCCAAAAATATTATCTTTACCCTGTCTGTGACATTCAACTATGCTTAGGCTATACACATTTGTAAAATACGTAAGATTCAATCAAGTGAGGATGAAGTTGGTAAGAACTGATAAAGCATTAATGGCCAGATTTTCTACTCTGATAGGCTGGACGGATGCATTTCTACCATCTGTACAGGCTTCGTCCTTCCTCTCCAGACAGAAGTATGTTAACTGACAATTAGCATAAAAGCAGCTACAAATGCTTACGGTGGGGTAATCCATTAATATCCAGTTTGGCTAAATCACAGACATTCTGTTTCCTCACAGTACGTATGCTGTTTCCCTTGTTGCTGCATTAGCATACGTTGCCGAAAGTAGAACTGATGTGAACTCTGCTGGCAAAGCACTCAGGAATCCATATTCCCTCTCACACTCAAGCAAATCAGTGCTCATGGTAATAATTCATCACTTAGAAAAGACCTAAGTTACAGATAGAAAATCCTTGAATATATGCCAACTGTTACTGTTGGTTTCTTGTTCCAAATTTCCATAATGCAGATGAGCTCCAGGGCTCCAGGCTCCGGAAGGCTGACAAACGTATATTGTAGCAACAGCTTCCTAGCCAGCAAGTTCACCATCTGGATATACTTTCTCAGCTCTCTGCTGAAATTGAAGGGTGACCTAGAGATTATGGAGTGGATGTATTCCATCCTGTGTGGATGCCCTGCTCATGCCTAAATTTTAGGTGGCTTTAGCTGCCCTCTTACAGTGAATTCTGAGTTTTCCTAGAGGTCCATGAAGGCATTGGTGGCTTTGAGGTCATCCAGAGCTTTCCTCATCCTGTTCAGTAAAATTTAGGCACCTTAGCTGGGTAGACACAAACTCTACCAGTGGGAAGGATGAGATCTAAAAGCACTGTGTCAAGGTGTTGGCAATATCTGGAACTTCCACTGCAAGACAGCGACCTCCAGAAGGTCACTGTCCAGAGTGTCCTTCAGCTTCCTTCTGTACAGCAGTGGAAGAACGCTGGTAGCAGAATCCTGCCTCTTCTGAAGGCAGCAGCAAGTTTTCCAGAGGTGCCCTTACAGCTGCTGCTCTGTGGAAACTGAGAGTGAGGTCTTTGTCAGCAGCAGACAGATGATGCGTAATGCTCATGTGCATGGACTAGGTTGGGACTGATCCAAAACCCACCCGACTCAATGAGCAGCATATCAGGCAACACCAAAACAGCCTAACCAACATAAGAATTTCTCACATTTTTTTCAGAAGAAATAGGTGGATTTTTGGCTTAACACAGTTCATTAAAAGGTAATGGAGAAAAAGACACCCATCAGTAAAACAGTCACATTCAACCTCTGCGCCTCCTTGTCTGCTAGGCAACATAAACTCGTGTGTAGACAGCTATTAGCATCCCGCGACACACAAGAGGAGCAGCATCTGCACACTCCCTAGGCCCAGAATTCAAGTTCAAGGTGATTCAAATTACTCTAAATCCATGGTAGAGCTACACAGAAGTCTTACACTGGACTGCAGCTTTCTCAGGTTACCCAGAGAACATTAATTACAGCAAACAACATCAGCCTTACTGTTTTTTGGCAGAGGGGGAGAAAGGAGGGAGAAGGACTAGGCCTGACTCAGCAGAAGCAGTGCCACCCCACCTGCCAGCAGCCTCCCTCCCACTGTCTGTGCTATGTAACTAAGTTGTGTTGGGAAAATACATTATTTTGGACCCAGGATGGGGATCATCACAAGCCAGCATGCCAGGACCCATATGAGTCATAAGGAAATGTGGAGAGGCATCCCTTGGGCCTCTGATGCTTCTCAAGCATTTGTGTACTTGACTTCTGGCATTGAGTGCCTAAGCCAACATAGCAAAGAGGGCTTCCCTAGCCCCACGTACAGAAGCGAAAGATGAAATCTTTAACATGTCAAAATGAATGTGAAAAAAAATATCCATTGGCAGAACTGTGCCCTGATCACTGCCTTACCTGTCTACTGCTGTTGCTGTTTTGCTTTTTCTGAAATTACTACTGTTCCTTGAGCAGGGTTTTGGAGAAAGCGAGTGGTGTACAGAATACACTCTCGATAGCAGAGCTGTAGGGCCCTAGAGGAATTTCCTTCCCTTTCCATTGCTCCAGGGTCTGCTGTCCCTGGTAAAGTCTGCATCCTCTAAGTATCTCCTCTTGTGGAGTTTCTCTGCCTGACATTTGTCACGTGTCAGTGACAAGAAAAGTCAGGTCAGGATTGACCCCCTGCTTGCAAATGCTCCAGCAGTGCCCCTGCAGCCCTGTGGCTGCCTCCACAGCTGTCTGTGTGTGTGGCAGGAGTGGTCAGTGTTAGCAGTGAATAAAGCATTGATGTGTCACATCTGAGCAGTTTCCATACTGACCCATTTCTGATGTCATTTTCTTCTTCTCTTTTAAAGGGAAAAGTGATGTAGAGCCAAAGACCCCAGAGAAAAGCGCAACCCATACATCGTAAGTCACATTTCCGTTTAAGATTGGAGAAGGCAGCTGTGTTTTTATCAGATTTGTTGGGGAAAATAGAATTTGTTTGTTTTCATTAAGATAAAGCTCTTTCACTGATGCTTTTCGTAAAACAGCTTTTTAGATAATGACTAAACATTAATTATTCCTAGAACTTCTGCATGCTAGTAAGTCAGCAATCTTTGCAAGTGAAATGGCTCCATATCACGCTGAATAGATATGAGATTATTTTTGTGGGTGTGCAAGGCTGGCCTTTAGAACCTTACTTCAGCATTACCTTAATGCTGCTGGAGTTTGTCACACTTGCTAAAAAACACCATGTCACATATGCCTTTGATGTACTGATGTAATTTTAAAAGACTGCAGTCTGCAGCTTCACCTCTGAATTACTTGAAATCCAATTACAGTTATCTCTGGTCTCTCACGATTTTGTTGATGTTTTTGAATTAACAAAAGAAGTCAAGAAATAGATAGGAACAGGCCCTTGTAATATATCAGTGTTCACCTTCACTTTACTGCAACAATAGAAGCTTTTACCATTTTTTTTTACTCTAGTATACAAAAGACTGAATTGTTTTGCCAACATAAACCAGTCTATGAAACAGATGGGCTGCAAGTTAAAAAAAAATTTAAAATAGCATCAGTCTTCCAAACTAAGCGAGATAAGTGAATTCTTTTAATAACTACCAGGCAGGAGCATTATGAATTTCTGAAAAATCATTCACCTTTTTAATCCCATTTGAGAGAGGGAAGTTCTTGTAGCAGTCAGTCATGTGAGTTTTAGAGTGCATCTGGCCCATAATTTATGTTTTCTGATTCCTGTTATTTAAATTCAGAGCATTATATCATGTAAATCTCACAAGGTGTCACCATTTGTTACATGGCCAAAAGTAGTCACAGAAGGAGGTACAATAACAATGATTTATTGTGGGACGTTTCGATTTCTGCTGCAAATACGCATTAAAAATCTTCTGAAAATTAATCTAGAAAAAGATTTGACACGGTGTAAGAAATGGCTTGTCCTGCAGATTGTGTTGTGGAATGTAATTATAGTATGCAAGCACATTTAGGCAAACTTATTAAATGAATTAAGCATTAGTAACCTTATGCCTTCTGATAGTATGATTGCTGGGAACGTTTAATAGAATTATTTCAATAATTACCATTTTTAAAAATAATATTGCAAAAAAGACCAAAAGAAGAAGGGTTTTAATGCCATCTGGAGGTATTTTGGAGAAATGAACACATTTATTTTTACTGATATTTAGCAATATGTGAAACATAAGCCATCCTCCACTGGTTTTTTTTCTAGGTATTATTTTATTGATGAGGAATGCTCTTTTCTTCTCCTTCACTGGATTAAAATCCTGTAAGGTTTCTGAACCAACCACGACAGTGGTATCTCTGAACCCAAAATACGGGTTCAGAGGTACACCCCGATATGGTTATGGGTTGGATTTGAGACTACAGACTGATACAGTGTGTCAGAATCTGGTTAGGTGTGAAAGGTTACTTCGCTAATTAGAGATCTTGCTACCTTCTGAAACTGTGCTGTCTGCTAGATACAGTATATTTATAATGCTTAGCTTTAAATTGTTACTATATTCTAAGGCTACCACACAGCATACATTGGTTCCCAGAACAATTTTTAGAGGCAGAAACAACTGGCTACTGTTGATAAATTACTGGATTCAGGAACCGAAGGTCCTTCTAGTTAGAGAAATTCCACAGAAGCGGAAGCAGGAGAAAAAAGAGGAGATGAGAAGAAGGGAACCAACAAGTGTTGTGTCAAAAGAAAAGGAAGAAAGTGAAAGGGATATAGTTAAGAAGTAGGAAAAGGAATTGCAAACATCAAGTTTTTGGAAAGAGGTACAAAACTGAGAACAGTAGAAAAGAGAAACAGAGATCAAAAACTGAAGACAAGTAAAAGCCATTAGCAAACTAAAGATGTACGTGTTACTCAGCAGAGGGCTGGATCTGTGAGTATTAGTGAAGGAAAGTAACTCACGCTAGTACGTAGGTACACACCAATGCCCCAGTTCTCTTTATGCTACCCTGCTGCTGGCCTTTCCTGGGTTTCTTCTCTTATCCACCATCTTCTAGGACAGTTTTTTATCCCTGGCATCTCAGGCAGTCACGAATACAGAATTCCTCTGTTCTTTTGGGGCCATAGAAATTCACACCTGTGCACACAATGCACACCCAGGAGAACCTGCAGTGCACACCTGCACATGGATGTGTGAGCCTGTGTGACTGGTCTGTCTGCAGATGGATGTTCTCTTCCCTGGTGCACGTGGAGAAGACCATACCTGGGCAAGAGCTCCAGCAGTGCCCAGCTGGGAACCTCAGGGGAGTGCAAAGGGCACGAATGCTGCCAGGGGTCCCTGTGGATAAAAAGGCTGTACCCTCTTGCAAGATGTCACTCCCCTCAGAGTGTCAAAGGAGCCCAGTTGGCATCTCCTGGCAGGGGTGCTAAAAAGGAGCAGCATTGATATAGGAGAGAGATGGCATGTTCAAGCCTGACAAAGAGAAACTGTGGATGCACCTCACTGTGAATCAGTGTTTCCCTGTGAAAATGGAACAAACAGCAACAAAAAAAAACCCCCGCAAAGTGATGTTTGCCTAGAGGAAAACTAGAGAAAAGATGGAGAGGATTAAATTAAAGTTTTTTTCTTGAAAATGTCTTTTTTATTTTCCTCAGGCATGTTACAAGCCTCACACTCTAGCCAAGTTTATATGATTCAATGGCAGTTAATTCAGCCCTGGTGCAGATATACTACCTCCATCCAAACATTATTTATGCGGCTTCAAAGGACAGGTTGATTACCCTCCTGAATCAGGCAGTGAGGCATTTGTGAACCAAGAATTAACATGACATCTCCCCTTAAGATAACCCTCATGCCTTGCCCACTGGGCTCCAGGTCCTCAAAAACAAGCATGACCCTGAGACCTGGAGGTGCTATCAGAGGACCCAGGACCAGAGGTGCTATCTGTAACCTCTCAGAGAGTGCAGGATGTGTAGTGCTCTGTTCAGAGGCTTTGGGTACAGCATCATGTGTGGGGGCTTTTCCTGTATGTCTAACTCCTTAGATAGACTCTTTACAACGCAACTCTCCACTGATTATAATACTAAACATTAAAAAAATAGTAGGCATTAGATGATGCATAGTAATTGATGTAGCATTCTAATGAGGCAGATGAATAAGGGCAGTTATTGCAGTGCTAAGGATAGTGGAGATGGATTTAGGAGAATAAAACTGATGCAAAAGTGGCAAGGAAAATCTAAGCAGAGCTGTATCGTTTTGTACAATATTCCTATGGCTTTCACTGCCATGGCATTCACAATAATCACCTGAACTGGTACTGAAAAATCGCAATAAAAGGTGCAAACAATACAAAAGTGTTAAGCTGTCTCGAGTCTTCCCAGGTTGATTCATGTTCCTTGTAATTGAATGCTTTTAAAGCCACGAGCATTCTGTATTTGAAGGGGTTTTATTGTCATTGTACTTAATATATATAGCTCTCTATGGGTCATATGGTTATAGCTTTGCTGAGCATTTCCAAACTTTTAGGACTGATCAGAAATATCTAGTGATGTTTTGTTCTTTTGGTTTTGTGATCAGAGGGTCAATTTTCAAGGGTCAGAAAATTTTCACAAATTTTGTTAAAAACATCTAATTTTTATTAAAATCCTTTCCCCCCTCCCAGTTTTACCACCAGAGTCTTGAGGGCTGCATTAAGACATGGGTGTGGATGAAGGAAGAGCGGTCTTTGGTTCATCAATATTTGCAGTTACAGGATTTTAGTCTTTTTTTGCCAAATTTCTATGTCCTTTCATTAAGCCTTAATTGTTGCAATTAAAACTTTTAATTTTATAAAACTTGTCTACAAGGCAAAGTGCTTACAAGCAGTGCATATGTTTCAGAGGACCTTGCAGAGTCACAGAAACTCCTCCCTGAGCTGGGGGTCTCGGATCTTCCACCTTCCCACGTGCAAAATATGACAAAAATTAAAAAACTGCACAAATATACAAAGCACTCAGCATGACTCCCGCTCTTGGAATGACTTTCGATGTACTGTCTGTTGCAATGTTCTTCAGTACCTTTGTGTTTGTAAATGATTTCCAGTTCAGACTACCCAAGGTTAATCATGCCTGACTGTGATTCACTGCTATGCATTTACCTCGACATTTCTAGTGCACTTACTTAATGATATCAGGGCTAGCAACTAGATACCTCAGTGCTGTCTCTTTATTAACCCTCCCACAATTATTTTCATGCTGAGCTGCTCCAGATTTTTCCCTCCCTTTTTACAAGAGAATTAACTAAGATTGAGGGAGGCTTTTATAATTTATGGCAGTTGTGCAGGTTTTGTCCTTTACTAATACTCTCTGGGAATCACAGTGATCACAGAGAGTGTGTGTCTGTGTGTGTGTGTGTGTGTGTGTGTGTGTGTTGGCTTGTTTGCTTTTGCCAGGCAGAAATAGATGTTGGCTGTGTTCCTTCCCTGTACTGGTCCCCAGCATCACGTGCAGAATGATTTGCTCAGGGGGATCTTTATTAACAGCACTAAAGTCAGCAGCTTCTAAGCTGCCCATTTGCAGACATTAGTGCTACAGTTTCTTGTCCATCCAACACCTGCTCATCATTCTCACAACCCTGGTTCTCCTTCAGGAAGGAAACATCACATTGGAGAAGTATCACTGTGGTTCTTGCTTGATGTGACATATTTTTATTGGCACAAGCATAGCATGTTGGTTCTTTCTTCCTCTCTTCAGTCTTGCCCCTTGTATCTCCAGAGTTACAGTTAGTTATTCCACAGCCAAAATCACCTGCTGCTTTTCCCTTCTGCAGTGGGAAGACTGAGGCAGAGGGATTACAAGGTGCCTGCAGAGAACAGAGAGAACCAGTCTCAAATACAGGCAATCAGTTTGAGCAAGTGCTGCCAGGTCACCATCCAGCTCTTAGCCCTCAGGGAGCTTGTCCTCTCAC